ATCAGACTGTCAAACCTCAGAGGGAAGGTAGAGGAGGGTGGGGGTAAGGAGGAGAGATCAACCAAAGGACTTGTATGCATGCATATAAGCCTAACCAATGGACACAGACAACAGGGAGGTGAGGGCATGAGTGGGGGGTGGGAGGGGCAATGGGGGGATAAGGACACATATGTAATACCTTAATCAATAAAGAAAAAGAAAAAAAAGAGTGAAAAGACAAGTCACAGAAAGAAGATATTTTCAACACATGTAATGAATAAAGATCTAGAACCCAGAATATGTGGAACTTCTACAATATCAGTGAGAAAAGATAGAAAAATGAACAGAATAGTTGAACTGCAATTTTAGAGAAGAGAAAATCCAAATTGTCAATAAGTGGGGGAAAATGTTTCACCTTGTTATTAATCAGAAAATTTTAAATTAAAGCCATAATAAGGTAACATTTTTATCCAGAAGATTGGCAAAATCTAGAAATCAGAAATACAAAGTGCTGTGAGGATGTGGAGCAATAGGAATTCTTATACATTGCCAGTACAACTGTAGGTTAGTAAAACCATTCTGAAGCTTAATCTCACATCTCTTGTAAAACTAAAAATTTGCAAACTATAAGATTTCCACTTCCAGGTATACACCATCTATATCTTGGATATGTACAAAATGTACATGTATATGACAAGTTAAAAAATGTATATGTAGAAAAATAACTCATGTACATTTCTAGTATCATTTTTTAAAAATAAATTTTATTGAGGAATACTTCACTTAGAAAAAAATGCACAGACTTTAAGTATACAGTTCAAGAAATTTTAATGAACATATATAACTGAGCTACCACTTCCACATTCAAAATACAAAACATTTAGCCCTAGCCAGTTTGGCTCAGTAGATAGAGCATGGGTCTGTGGACCGAAGGGTCCTGGGTTTGATTCTAGTCAAGGATATGTACCTTGATTGCAGGCTCCTCCCTCTCTTCCACTCTCTCTAAAAACCAATGGAAAAATATCCTCAGGTGAGGATTTAAAAAAATAGATAGATGATAGATGATAGATAGATAGATAGATAGATATGTATATGTATATCTATACATATATATATAATATTTACATAATCCCAGAAAATTTTCCTGTACCCTTTGTTTTCTATCAGCACAGATGAGTTTTATCTGTTCAAGAATTCATAAAATAAAATCATACAGTGTG